ATGGGCCAGGCATGGGAACTGATGACAACATATAGGTTGACTCTTCTTCCTTCAATTAGCTCTGCTTCTTCCCTTATCTCTTTGTGTTAGTTAACAAGGCTTGGGAAGCAATGAAGGATCAGGGTAATTTAGGCAGGATTACACAGGTGTCCTCCTATCACTAAAACTTTACAGGTAGGGTCACAATGAGTTGATTCTGCCTCAGTTGTTCCTATTTCGAAGGTGATTTGGCTGCTCAGTTAGAGCTTTGGCTTAGGACAAGATTAACCCCTCAAGGGCCACCATCCCCTATAATATGAATTATAAAGTGGTCCCTGGAGAATTCCCAACCCAGAAAGGGAAACAACCGATAAAAATACAATGCGTATGCTTCTATAAGTAAGTCTGCTTAATAGCATACTGCTGGGACATGACACGCAAACATAGCGGGTTTTTTGTACTTTGATACAGGTAAAACACTCAGGTGAAAAATACCATAGTCTCACTTTCTATCATACATCAGAATCCACTTATATCCATTTATATTAAAGTTTGTAATTACACATATCAAAACACTATTTAGTAGGCTATTTTTTTAATTACTGTACCACCTTGTATATAATAAGGCTGTGTTTATGTTTCAAAAATAAAAAATGTAGCATGTTTTTATATAAGCCTTGGCACACACATTAGATTGTATGTAACCTCTTAATAAACGTGACCATTTACAATGAAAGTAAATGGCTTTTTACCTACATTACTATCTTCCCAACTAGCACAATAATTTACACAAACAGACTTTGACAGCGGCTCAGGTGTGAGGCCATTTGGTAAGTGTGTAGAAGTGTGCTGACATGGCATCTTTCCACTTGTCCCCATGTCTAAGTGTCCTGGGGACACAGTCTCCTTCCCACTCCCTTCCTCCCTAATGCAGGCCATACTTCCTCTTCTCATCTGAGGTCCTTTCCTCTTCAAGGAGAACCCAGGTTTGTCTTGGTCTCCTGGTAATGGAAGTTAGATTTTCTACATGTTCTAGATGAACTGACAGATCTCTAGAAATCTGTTTACCTATAACATCATGTTTTGTAGGAAAACTATCCTAGCTAAGTAGACTGGCTATTAACTACATCAGACACTGTCTAGAAGGACATTTTGCTTTTTGGTTTTAATAATATCCCTCTATGGTGCTTAGAGGGAAAAGAAAGCTTGCAGAAACCTTCAAAGGCATTTCCTTACTAATGCACCTAGTCCCATTGTCTTTACTCAAATGTTTATTTAGCAGGTTTTTAAAATTATTATTATTATTATAGTCTTTTGAGACAGGGTCTCACTGTGCAAAGGCTGGCCTGGAGTTCACTTTGTAGCCCAGGCTAGCCTCAAGCTTGAAATGATCCTCCTGCCTTGGCCTCTGCAGTGCTCGGATTCCAGGTGTGTGCCACCACTCCTGGCCAGCAGTTTTTACAAAAGGAATAAAATCTTCAGTTTTCAGCTAGGAAACCCCAGAATTCCCCGAGGATTTTGTTAGCTCAGAAGCTACAATAGAAAGAATGCCATATCGGAGCACTGGGTCCAAGAACAGACTCAAGAAGAGTTGGACAAAAGAAGATGGAAAGTCTTCACCTTTGATTTTGCACAGATGTGGGGAAGGTGCTGTGGGCAGGGCCAGGCATGTCATAAGAGGGAGTCAGGGACAGTTGTACCCAGAGCCATAGCCTAGGGTGCCAATGGCGACTCCCCACATGAAGGCTGGAGAGAGGGATCCAGGGGGCCTGATGGTCTCCTCTGTCCTCAGATCACATGGGTCCCTTTGGAGGTGGGTGGGCAGCACGTCTCAGGGCACACAAAGCCTCTGGCCACTCTTCCCACTGAAGTTCTTTGAGTCTTTGACTGACATAGGTTCCCACTGAACTCTCTGAAAGCGCTCTATTCTGACTGGTTACAAGTTTTAGACTGCAGGGGCCAGGGAGATGGCTCAGTGGAATAAGCACTTCCCTGGCAAGCGCAGGGCCTGAGTTCAATCCCCTTTTCCACCAAAAAAAAAAAAAAAAAAGGAATTAGGAGTCAAGTTTTAGACTGCGATTAATGAAAAGGTCCAAAGTGAAATGAACCTCTCAGTCTCACTTGTTTTTATACAGTGGGAAATCCTTCTAAACAGGGCAGGCATCATTGAGCACATGCTCAAGCAGATCACAAACTTGAGCCCAGCCTGGACGACTTCGTAACATAGAGAGACCCTGTTTCAAAATAAAAAGGGATTGGGCTGGAACATAACTTGGTAGTCTTAGCTCCTGCCTGGCAAGCACAAGGTTCTGAGTTTGATCCCAGCTACTGCATGTCATGCCAGTCCTGAAACCAGGTGTAGTGGTGCATACCTATAATCGCCACACTGGGGAGGCTGAGACAGGAAGTTCACTAGGAGTCTGAACTGCATAGCAAGACCCTGTATCAAAAATATAAAAATATAAACATAAATATAAAAAGGGATAGAAGGCTCAAGGGGGTAGCTCATGTGAAGGCTGTATGTTCAGTCCCTCCAAAAAAGATGTCCCCTACAAAAAGAATAAAAAAAGAAGTGGGATGGGAGGAGAAGAGAAGAAAGGAAAGAAAAAGAAAGGGAAGAAAAAAAATCATCCTGGTAAACAGCAGTGTGAGCATAGAAGAAAGCGTTAGGAAAGGAAAGGAAAGGGCGTAGGGAATGACTATCATTACCTAAGGAGCTGGCTGTTTTAGTCTGATGACGCACATGTTTCTGATTGCAGGATAGAGTTAAAAACCAGCACTTCCAACAGCAAAAAGTGAATCATCCAGAGAACACATACTGTGCGATTAGCATGCATGTTGAAATTCCAGCCCCCTTTCATATTGTTTTCTCAGCACTCTAGATCCAGCAGGGAGAAGAAAATGGGTAAATTTCTCACCATCACTTCAGTGACTCATCTAGGAAGAGGAGTTGGGGAAAGAGAGGAGTTAGGGAAAGGGGTAATCTTGCCAATAGCCGTGGTCTCCATGGAAATTGCCCTTCCATTAGATCAAAGGGATAGCAGGGCTTCCCTTCCCAGAGGCCCCCGGGCCACATCACGTTGGCTCTCTTAGGCCCAGTAATCCCTAGGTACTGACTGTTCCCCAAGAAGAATGCCCAGCTGAACTGAAAGTCAGTTAAATGCTTCTTCGTCCAGCAAAGCAGGCCCCCACCCTCAAACGAGTGTTATTCTAAACACATATGTGCTTTGTATTTAAAATGTGCTTGTCCCAACTACTTGGGGAAAAGCTTATAATCAAAACAATGATAATTACTAAGATATGGCTAAAGGTTAAGTCTTGCAAGTTTATGCAGGTGACAAGAATCTAGGTATCTCGGCTATAATGTTACTCCAAGTAGTTTCTCTCAAAATGATTCCATATTTTTCAAATTTTTCCAAACTAAAACCCCTAAGAACACATAGTATGAAATGATGCTTTATTTTTGTCAACCCATCAGAACTTAACAAATGCATCTTCATACACAATATCATTCTAGGCCTAGAAATAAGCAAATCTTCCTCTTCCACTATCATAAATCCAGAGTTTCATGAAATGTTGACTTAGACTTTTATCTTAAAAGGGTCCCTAATGCTTAGTAAACAAGAATAATGATTGTTAGTCTTTATTTCCAGTAGTGCATTGACACTTATTAAATCCCAGATTGCATGGCTATTGTCCACAACTATCTTCATCCTCATCAAGAGGGTTAAGAACTTAAATATATACATGGTAGCATAAGCCGGCTATTTTCAGTACGGTAGATAGAAAAGATACAAGGTCTTTTCTCAAAGATCTTAACTCTCTGACAGTTACTAACAATTTCAAGCCATGCTCATAGTGCATTTTATGACATTCATGCACTTGTCCTGGGTGGAAGGCATTGGTTGAAGTATCTGGGTTGAGTTGTTGGGCAAATGTGAAGTTCTAAGTTTTGCACCTCATAAAACCATTGCCTGTGAAGTCTGTGAGTTACCTTCAACATCATGTCCTTCCTCTAATTTTACCCTAAGGAAACTGAGTCCCAAAGTTACCACCAAGTGGAAACAGCACACCTGACACATAGGTCTGTTCAGCCCTGGTGTGAGTACCCTTCCACTGGAGTCCTACCTCATGGGAATTCCAGTCATTCTCTATTAGAGAGAAATTTCCAGAAAGGAAGTTTTATTTTCTCACCAAAACCTTTCTCCCCATGGGTGTTGGGGAACCCAGCTGTTTTCATACATTAATAAATCTGAAATTAACATCATCACAATTGTATTCTAAGGTGAACGTGTCTTTAAAAGTCTTCATGCTTTTGAGACTCTAGAGAAAGTGGGAACTAGTTACCAGGTAGCCTTGGGCTTTCAGTTGAATTTTTTTTTCTAGTTAACGACTCCAGCTTTTTTTTTTTTTATCATTTCTATTAAACATACAACATACAATTTACCATGTTCACCATTTCTAAGCGTGCATTTGAGGAGTGTTAAGTATAGTCACATTGTTGTGCATAATTCCAGGTTTAGTTACTTTGTTTTACAACCCATTTTTGCCTCTCACTTTAAGCTTCCATGTTGTTCTAAATTTCCACCAAACATCTTTAGAACATACATTTCATTATTGTAGGGCTCTGGCTGGACAAATCTTTTTCTAAGAACTATTAGAAACCTCCTCGTTTAAATGTAAAGCCAGCAACATGATTGCCTGTGCCTCATGCTGGGCTGGGCCCTTACAGAACCCTGATGAAAGCCTTCTCATTTTTTGTAACTAGGGGCTGGGGTGAAAGGACAAGGGCAAGAGGTAAGTTTTCTATTTATTTTTCAGCTCTTCCTATATCTGTGAAACTTCTGCTGCTTGAGTGTTCTTGACACAGAGCCTTGTGGGTATTTTCCTTTATACATCATTTGCTTTATTTTACCTTTTCATTGGTGTTTTCTTAAAATTAATAAACATAATGAGCAGTTATGTATTATTCATCCTGTGTGTACAAATCATGCATTTATCTGGGGCTCCTTTTTTCCCAGAGCCTGCACCCGACAGCGCATGCTGAGCGGATCATTTGAAGGGCAACCAGCAAAAGAAAGGTCGATCCTCAGCGTACAGCATCATATCCGCCAGGAGCGCAGGTAAACGTGCAGGCAAGATGATCCTCAGAGCTCCACGGGAAGGAAGTGTGCATGAACATGTGGGGGTCCAAAGCCTTCCCCACCCCCTGGGTGGAGGCAGGTTCAGGTGAGGGGCTGAGTTCTATTCACCAGTGATAACAGCAATGAAACTCACAAGCCAAATCAAAGATTCAAAACATCTATATTTCAAAGTCTTTTTCCTTGGTGATAGCCAAATTCTCACTTTTAAGATCAGAAGGGAAAATTCTAAAATCTTGTTCGGTGGGATCAAAGGTATTTGGAGAGATGATAAGCTTTGGTGGTAAAAAGAAGTGAGACGTTTGTGAGGTTATATCAGAAAGACTGTTTTCTTTTCTTTTTTTTTTTTTTTATCATGGTCATTGCTTAGAAGTTCAAATTTGATCTTGAGATGTGTTGATTGTGATTGTTTTAGGTCACTGAGACACGGATCAAATAGCCAGAGGATCAGCAGGGGGAAGTCTCTGGAAACTTTGACTCAAGATGTAAGTTATGAGCAATGCTTTTGGGTTTATGGAACATAGTTATGGAAGTATTTAGATGTCTACTTCGATGATTCCAATACTCTGTCTGTCTATCATCTTGCCACGTTTCCTTAACATTTTGTACAGAAGAAATCAGAAAACAACACAGGAAATAAATTACAAGGCCAGGACTAAAAAGGGACTGCTAACTAGGACAATGCAGAGTGCATGTCTTATTTTAAAGAGTAACACAAATATCATGTATCTGTTTCATTTGACTGAAGCTAAGAGAATTTAAAGCATTTTATGGGAATGATTCACATCATTTCACTTGAATATTTACTAGGTTCCAAATATTCTGGAATATAGTTCCACTACTTATAATTTCAAGGCTTTGCATATGAGAAAATAGATTTTTTTTCTAGAAGAATTCTGTCAAAAGTTGCATAGAATATGCCAAGGATTTTTTCAGATGATAGGTTATTTATGCATTTGTTTGCTGACTCGGGAGCTACTTACCAAATGTCGTCTGTGCTGGGTCTTCTTGGAAGTGATGAAACTAGAAGGAAAACACAAAGTGGACTCAACTGCCCTCCTGGAGCTTACAATCTAGAAAAGGAGGCAGAGAAGAGAGTAAAGAAATAGTGGAATTTCCCAGTGAGTTTTTTAAGTTTTCCATCAGCTCTCCATTGTGTGACACACTGGCTTTGTTGTGTAAAGTTAAAGTGGTGCACAGAAATCATAGGCGGAGATTTGGGGCAAGGATTTTTAGATCTGAAAGTCAGTGTAGACCCCTCTCCAGTAGCCCAGAGACATAAGTGAAGCTAAGGAGCAAGCCCTGTGGAAAAGCTGAGAGGCCAAAGGTCAGGCTACCCTGCAGCTATGCCCCACTACAATCCCCAGGAAAGAGTTAGTTAAGGAGGCTCTGAGTGGAACGTTGGCCTCAGCTTGAATCTGGGCACCTGGGCACCTGGGCCAAGAACAGCCTTGAATGTTCAGAACTAAGAATGACCCTTGGGAAAGAAGAGCTAATGAAAGGAGGCAACGCCACAGGCTTCGGTCTTTTCTTCATTTGTCTCCTATTTCCTATGACTTCTTGCAGTGTCCAGTGTACCACATCTACTTTCACTCCCAAATCTGCTGTCTGTCTTGTATTAAGCATTCCAGGCAAATATGAGAACAAGAAGTTGGTGATGAGATCACAAGGTTACGGCTGGCACATGGCTCTGTTTCCATGTGAGGGTTTTTAAATTCAGAGCTCTGTCTAATTGGCTAGCACAGGTATGACCAGGGCCAAGAGGAGGCTTGAACTCTTACCTTTTAGAGCCAGGGATGTTGCCCACAGAGAATTGGCAGGTGAGAATTCATAGGCAACATCTGCTCTGTGCACCATCCCTCCATAAGATTTGGTGGGAATCTCCCATCCGGTGAAGAGTCAAATTGGAACGTGGCTTTGACAATGTGCCTTGAAATACAGACAGCAGAGGCCTAGCTTGAGTGGTATCAATTCCAGAACTTCCTTCTCACAAACTAGGCACATTGCCCACACAGGTGTGCAACAAAACCCATCCACCATCTTCTCCACAGCAAAAAGTCGTAGGGTTCAGGTGATTGCATAAAACATCCTTTTAATTTCTGCCATAATCGGAGACATTTAAATTAGAACATGTTACCATTTTCACATATTCCTAATGATGCAAAGTATAGGTAAGTGGACATGAGGAATGCTTCTTTTAAAGTCTGTGGTTTTATATAGGAAACGTCTTCCCCTCATCCTGCAGTCTGTAAGGCCTAGGTCCTGGCTTGTGCAACCCGCCCACCCTCTAGGCCTGCCACTTAGGGCTCATTCCTGCTCTTTGGGCTCCTCCTGCATGCATCGTGGCCCTTCACTCCCTGGAAGAATAAGTTAATTATACATGTAATCGTTATAGCTACATATTCTATATGTAATAGTTATATTGTTATTATTGTTATAGCTAAATATGCTACATATACAAGATCTGATAAAAAGTGGATATTTAGATTTTTAAACTTTATAATAGTAAAAAGTACATTGTCATTAATCCTCAAAATATTCCATCTCACATGAAACATGTACGTCCTATCCTGCTTGGAAACCGCTTTCATGAGAGGCTTTAGTTGCAATGTCATGGCTGCCTTGGGGTCCAGAATTGATTCAAAACATTTACCTTTTATGGCTGTTTTGAGTTTTGGAAGGGTTAGGAGCACCGTGGGGCCAGGGCCAGTGAGTGAGGTGGGTGAAGATGCACCCTAATGTCCTGTAAGCCTGCCTTTCTATCAGGTGGCATTTGACAGCAGCATTCGCCATACTTTTGATCATGTCTTATAAAGACACGTGAGAAGAAGCACTTCCAGAATGGCTTCTGAATGCCCCAGGAATGATGGGATAAATGTGCTCAAACAAAGCAGAGTTCTTTGAGGGGAATCAATGGCAATGTGTCTTTTACTATAATAATTTTTCATTTAAACCTTCACTATGCCTTCACTATGCTTTCTTGTACACACATGTATTAATTTCAAAGTTTTGAAATAGTGATATTCCAGCCTTCAGGAAGTCTCCCATTGTCACACGCCTCCTCTCCACTTATTTCTAGCATTCCAATACAGTGAGGTACAGAAATGCACAAAGAGAAGACAGTGAAATCAAGATGATCCAAGAGAAAAAGGAGCAAGCCGAAATGAAAAGGTACAGGGGCTTCAGGGCTCTGTGGCTCACCTGCTGGGATGGCAGACCCAGCCTGACTCTGGTAAATGTCACTTTCCAGGAAAGTCCAGGAGGAGGAGCTGAGAGAGAACCATCCTTACTTCGACAAGCCGCTCTTCATAGTTGGGCGGGAGCACAGGTTCAGGAACTTCTGCAGGGTGGTGGTCCGAGCTCGCTTCAATGCGTAAGTGTGCTCCATCCACCAGGCGTTTGACCTGAATCAAGCAAGCAGCTGGGGGGGGGGGGCAGTGGTTACAGGGAGAAAATGAGTCCTGTCATCCTCACGGGGTCACAAATAACTGTGGGCTTATGCACCGTGCTGCTCCGCTTTGCCGAGCACCTGACCAAGGGAAAATAAAGATTGTGAAGAGCTCGTGTTTGTAGAAAGCTCACATTGACAAAGCCCTTTAGTGGCTAATTTTACTTGTGCATTTTCATGGATGCCTGATATGTTCTTATCCGTGGTATGGATTCCATGTTTTCTTTTGAAAATACCAAAACCAAGGGAGGCTAAGTGACATAGAAAATGTCATTGTGCATTTCTTGTAGCAGAATTGTGTTTCTTGGTGATCAAAGGACCCCAGTGGGTCTATTATACAATAACATGAAGTAGAAGGGAAGGTGACCAAGGCTCCCACTCCCAACTGTTACCAGAAGACTCCGCCACCACCACACAATGTCTCTGCCCCACCAGTGTGGAAGGAACAAGGAAGACAGTATCAGTCACATAAACTGGATGAGCACATATTTGTGGATGTCTCAACCAAGTTTTACAGGCAACCAATGGATGAAATGAATTTTTTCAAATGTAACTTTTTTTTTTAATGTATTTAGTATAGGGTCTAAAGGGTTCCACTACACAGATCAGACTCATAGTATCTTCCTGTTTTCAACCTCCCAAGTGCTGGGATTACAGGCGTGCACCACCATGCCCAGTCTCAATCACAGTCTCCCTGGATTCCTGGGGCGGGGCCGGCATGGTACGCTGTGGATCCAAACCCAGTTGCTGAGCCTGCCTAAGCAGGTGCTTTAGTCCACTGAGCTATCTGGCTGGCCCTCAAGTGTAAGTTTAATATTGTGCAGATATTAAGAGTCTTGGGAAAGTATAAAACTTCACATTTTTCCTTTATATAATTGGATCCTCTTTGATGCCATCTTTTAAGTAAATTGATTTTCTTTGTGGAAAACTTGTTATTGGCTGAATTGCTACCTCAGATCCATACATTATTTTGTTTGTTTGTTTGTTTGTTTCATTTTGTTTTGAGCACTCACTATGCAGGCTGGCCTTAGATTCACTATGTATATAGTCCAGGCTGGCCTTGAACTTGCTGTGACTTTCCTCCCTCAGCCTCCCTGTGACAGAATTAAGGCGGGGGCCACCACACCCTCCTACATTCTTAGCTGTAAACAGATAATGAACTATAAATGAGGTCATCAGGGTGAGTCAGGATCCAGCATAAGTAGTTTCTTTATAAGAAGAGGAAGTTCAGAGGTTTGGAATCAGACAGACAGGACAACTATGTACAAGTGAAGGGACAACCCTGGAACAGATCCTGCTCTCAGAGCCCCCCAAGAAAGCAACCCTTCCGACACCTTGCTCTGGGACTCCTGCCTCTAGAATTAAGAGAACATAAATATGGTTGGCTGGGGCCACCCAGGACTCCATCTCCTTCTCTTAACATCGCAGCCTGGAGGAGACCCCAAGGCCACTTGGTATCCTGTGAGCCCCCTCTTCCTACCAAGAAGGACTGCTGGGTCTGTAGAGGCTGAGGGCTTTGCGCAGGGCGCCCAACTAGTGTGTGGCTCTCTCCTCATGGCTGCTCTGTGGCTCTTTGTACTGTTCTCAGCCTATACAACCTAAAGCACCTGAGTGATAATCATTAAAAAACTACCCTGAGTTTCCACAAAGTATAGGAAGAAGATGGCAATTTAGAACATGATTTTATCAGTGTCAGCACAGATTCTTCATCTTGAATTATCTTGTTATCTGCCTCCAGGTTAGCATCTAATTGCCAATTCTGCACCTCAGTTAGTGTAATGTAATTCTGCTTTTGTCAGCCCAATACACTGGTGAAGACCTTATTTTAATTGGGAACAGAGGCAAAGACTATGGGCTTCACCTAGCAAGCACACAGCCTTCCTGAAAATGAACATTACAAGCCTGCCTTTGAGGAAAGTCTATATAAATTATCCAGCAAGACCACAGCTACATGCAGGCAGAACTCTAATGGATGGAGTATGTAACTGCACAATCACAAAGAATGTCTTTGCACAACCTTGAAGGTGAAGATTTTAAGTGAGTGTTTTATAAATGGAAGTCAAAATTTGACTTTGTAATACCCACATCAAGAATTTTTAAAATGGAGCCTTGAATCATAAAATGAAGTATTTTGAGAACTAGAATGATTTCCATAACCATCAACTATAAATTCTCTTTATTCCTTTTTTAATCTAATGTCCTTTGCCTTCCAAAGTCATATAGCTACCATATTTTTAGTGGGCATTATATAAGGACATAAAGGGGACTTTAGGCCGATGAAGTGTTTGTAAGTACTTTATTGCCAAATTGTCACATGCCTGCTTCCTTGCAGAATTTCATATACATATTCTCTTTTACAGATCTAAAACAGACCCAGTCACAGGAGCTGTGAAAAACACAAAGTATCATCAACTTTAGTAAGCACTATAAATTCTTTTTTCACGCACATTGGAAGTATTCATGTGCTGTTTTATGCCACCTAAAAATGTAAAAATTCCTCTTTATTTTCTTAATATAGTACTATGAAATAGATAACTTAGGACTCATTTTTAAAAACACTAGTCATGTTGGTGGAGTCACCATCTCTGACTCCTGGCATGCTCCATCCTGGAGCCTTGAGGGCCTCAACTGTGCTTGGTCTTTGGCAGCGATCTGCTGGGACTGGTCACTTACCTGGACTGGGTCATGATCATCGTCACCATCTGCTCCTGCATCTCCATGACGTTTGAGTCACCCTTCCGGAGAGTCATGCACGCACCTACTCTGCAGGTACTGCCACGAAATCTCAGCGCCCAGCGAGGTGGGAAACACTAGCCTGTGGTTTTCCCACCCACTTGATGGACCTGCCTTTTGCCCTTTTCAGATTGCTGAGTATGTGTTTGTGATATTCATGAGCATTGAGCTTAATCTGAAGATTATGGCAGATGGCTTATTTTTCACTCCAACTGCTGTCATCAGGGACTTTGGTGGAGTAATGGACATATTTATTTATCTTGTAAGTCTTTGGCTATTTCCTAAATATAAAATGTGAGTTTTATAAAATCTCCTGAATCACTTGGTATAAGATGTCTATTGCCACAACTGCAGTCTTAAATGGATTCCATAGTAGTCCGTTATATACAAATAAGAGGCCATATGAAAACCATTGCCGTGCCCATGGGTAATTGTTAAAGTACACCAACCACAATTTTATATATGAGTATGATGTGCAGGAATAAAATTGAAGATAGCAAAACTAGTTTGCATCCCACATTTCTTGCATCTCCTATGATATAAAAATATTTGAATCATATAAGTCACATTGTTGATTAATGAGCACATTGTTACTGTAAGCAAACTAAGGTATTTGTAGTTGGACCTGATTCCAACACACAGAATACTTGGCTATCACAGTTGTCCATTCCATTGTTCAACTCAACTAAGCAGAAACCACAAGGGTAGACTCAAAGACATTTTTTTTTTTTTAATCTCTGCAAAGAAGGCATGAAATCAATGACTTGCCAGGCACAAGGAGAAATGTGATTAGTAACAGGTAGTATGTTGCTGATAATTAATAAAATAGTAGTTTTATTAATTATTAATTAACTTGAATTGGAACCAGGGAGATGGCTCAGTGGAATAAGCGCTTCCTTGGCAAGCACAAGGGTCTGAGTTCAATCCCCAGTTCCACCAAAAAAAAACTTAAAAAAAAAAAAAAAAGACATGGTATAATATTTTTTTTTAAAAAAAAATTAACTTGATAAATAAAAAGGCATTCCACTCACAGTACATTTGTGGAACCCCCAATTCAGTAAGCTAAAAAGAGGGAAAAGCATCGGGATACAGAGATACAGAATGGGCACCCCCATTTCATTCTCACATAGAGGAGACTACTTTCTTTAGAGGCCTCTAACAGGTCTGGGTTTGGTTTAGTTACCAGGCTGCATACACACCTGTGTTTGTCCGGCACAGTGCATGGACGCCCTACTACGTGAGAAGCTGTGGCCTGTTGGCTTTAATGGCATTGTAGACAAAAAAAAAAACTGTATAAACTGCAGAGCTTGTTCCTTCTGTCCAGGTGAGCTTGATATTTCTTTGTTGGATGCCTCAAAATGTGCCAGCGGAATCAGGAGCTCAACTCCTCATGGTCCTTCGCTGCCTCAGACCCCTGCGAATATTCAAACTGGTGCCCCAGATGAGGAAAGTTGTTCGAGAACTCTTCAGTGGTTTCAAGGAAATCTTTTTGGTATGTGAGAGCTGCCATTTGCTTCTGGTTCAGCACAGTCAGACCGGGGAGCTAGGGGAATCTTGCAGGTCAAGGTCAAATGTACAGTTGTACGTGTCCCCACAGGGGATAGACACACCACCAGTGCAGCACCTTCGCCCTGGGAGGTAATATCCACTAACTTTTTCATTCTTCATCTTAATTTCTACACTGAGTTTCAGTTTCTTCATCTAAAGATTAAGGATAAAAGCTTTTAAGTACATCTTCACAAGCAGGAATAAGAATTAACGTGTGGGCTCCTCGTCCTATTCCCTGTGTCCTCTTCCACCTATGGTTTAGAATTCCTTTCTAGATACTGGAATTGTTAATATAAAATCACTTGAAAGATAGAAACACAGGTAAGCTCTACATAAGCAGCATCATTGTGCAGTAAAAAATACTTGCAAATGTGAGTCAAGGTAACAACGTTCTTTTTAGTCTGACCAACGCTTCAGGGTCTTCTAAAAGAACAAAGCTTGAAACAAAATATGAAGTAAAAGGCTCCTTGCTGGCAATCTATTACAGCAGGGTCTTGGCTCTCCTGAAGAGTGATCAAAAGCTTTTTTGTTGTTGTCATGAGTGAGTTTTGTGTGTGCATTAAAAACATGAGTTGATCTTCTTGTTTTCTAGAAACACTCCCAGTGACACATTTAGTTGTAGTCCATGGGAAGATATTCTATGCATAGATTGCAAGGTTATTAGAGACATAGAGTTGTTAATGTGTGTGTGTGTGTGTGTGTGTGTGTGTGTGTGTGTAAGAGTCCTCATTTTCTTTACCTAAAATCATAAAACTGGCCTTTCACACAGTTTTATGAAGTGAAGGAAAATAGGCTTTCTCCCCACAGCTTCTGTGTGTGACTGGATGCCTGAGGGAGATTACAAGGTGATTGTTGGGCCTTTCCCACAATGACATATCTGCATGAGTTTAGGATACTTAGTTTAGGATACTTAGGGCCCATATTTAGATTATTCAGCCTGTATGGCTAGGGCTTGATCTGGTTTTCCTCACTGCTACTTTCCTCTGTCCACACCGAAGTGTTCAGCCAGCAGAGGGAGCCTGGGCTCACTCACAGATTCGCTTCTGAGGACCGAGTTACAGGGAGTCCAGAAGCAGCGTGGCCTCCTGCTATACCCCATGCTCCCAGGAAAGCAGTGTCACTGTCCCTGCTTATGCCCATCTAATACAGACAGGATCCATTTTGAGAAAGCCAGGCACAACATAAGGATCTAAGTATTTTCCCTTCATTCCATTAAGTTAACTGAAGTGAAGGGCTGTTCTCAAAAATCAGAAAGCTCAAATCATATATTTAAAAAAAGCTTTATCGCACTTTCTCTTTTAAAATTTTATTAGTGTATGTTTGCAAGATATATTAATTACATTGATGTTTGGGTATCAGCACACTACGTGTCTCATCTTTTTATTTTTAAAGATGCAAATTTGTTTTTCCATTTGACACTTCACTAAGCCTATGCAAATAATCTATGGTGAAAACCTTGAAAGATATATCAAAAAAAAAAAAAAAAAAAAAAAAAACTACAGATTTTATATAATGTGACATAGGAGGGGTGTTTATATCACATTGTAAACTAAAACTAATGTTGAAATTTTATCGAGCAGTTTAACATTTCATCGTTTTCTTTCAGGTGTCCATTCTCTTGCTGACATTAATGCTTGTTTTTGCAAGCTTTGGAGTTCAGCTTTTTGCTGGAAAACTAGCCAAGTGTAACGACCCTAACATTATCAGAAGGGTAAGACGCTCCTGTCTGTCCTTTGAAATAAAAATTAAAGTAGTTTGCCATTCCCTGGAAAGCCTGCAGGATCAGTGGCTGCCCCGGCTGCCTCGAGAGCTCCCTGAGGCAAGCCCCAGCACTCTCTTCCCACAACCTCCTGCCCCCTTCCTTCAGGATGATGTTTTTCTTGTGGAGATTTATGATGAAAGCAAGCTTGGTGAATCCCACGCCTCCTGCTAGCCCTACTCCAATGTACTGCTGACGTCCTGGGCCTGGCCACTGAAGCCTCTAGCTGCTTCTGGCTGAGAGCCTTGGGAGCCTTCCCCTCAGGGCTTCCCTGACACCACTGCACCCCTGTTTTTTCATTAGTAAGTAGTAATAGTGCAGGTTTTAGATACATAATGCGTGCAATTCATCCTGGGGAGCTGGCTCACGTATACACAGCATCTTAATGTCTTCTACCTCCACTTTCCCTCCCCCTTCCTTCTCCCTCTACCTCTGTGTCCGTTCCCCTTTGCAAATGGTCTGTCTTCCGGCTTCCTATGATCTGTCTTTTATCTTGGTTTTTAAATCATTTGTATTTTCTTTTTTGCATGTAGAAGAAACCATGCAATATTCAAGTTTGTGTGTCTGATTTACTGCATTAAGCCCCATGATCTCAAAATGCATCCATTTTCTTCCAAATGACTGACATTTACCTTTCGTTAGGGCTGAGTAGTACTGCATCGTGTATATTGTCTTTATCCCTTCATCTGTTGCCCATCCTGCCTCTGTCATCACCTAACACTCGTATCAGCAAACAATCCCCCTTCACAAATGTACAAGAGCAAAGTGTACCTCTCAGCCCCTTTGTATTCCTTCCCCACTCTCCATATCACCCCCTTTAGAAAGCAGGGCCTTAACATTATCTCTCAGCTGCCAAGACTTCCTCTTTAGGACCCCCAAAGGAACCCAAACTTGAACACCTTCCCCACAGGATTTCTATTCCTTCAGCTTGCCCCATGAGGAGGAGATTTGGTTCGGTAACTTTTGTGGTCATACAGACTCCTTGCCTCTTGGTAAGTCCAACAGCTTGCCACGAAATGACCAGTCAGGGGCTCAGGTGCCTCGGCTTGGTGACTCTACTCTGTGCTGTGTCTTCAGGGCTGGCAGATAAGAGCTGTATCACACAGAGCCAAGGGCCAGGCCTGCAAGTGGTGCTGACAACTTCAACCCACATTTCCTTGGCAAGACCACAACCCTAGCATGCCGGAAAGAAGGCTGGCAGATGTGGTTGGGTACTGTTCCCTGGAGTAAAAATGTGCACAATTCGGTTAACAGATAATCTGTACTATGTCATCCCCTGTCCCACTCCCGTGGGATTCTTCTCTGTGTTATAAATAGATTACTGACGTCATCTAATTATTGCTGATGCTTAAACTAGCAAAACTATTTCCTCATCCTTGCAATTAAAATAAAACCTCAACTCACTTGAACTGTGCTTCTCCAAAAGGCCTGACGATGAATTATGTTCTACATACCTGGAAAATTGAAGTAATAAAGATTTTATATCATGAGTTGTTCATCCTGTAAATATTGTAAAATACAGAAAATACCTTAGTCCGTTCAAAATACATCATAAATTATATTAATACGAGGGTTTGAGGAGTACGAGTCTGAGAGAGATATTCTAGAAATTCCATGAGCCTGAGCAGATATAACAGGGAACACGGTGTGAAGGTCATGATGCTCCGAATTAGCAAATGAAGGAGCAAATACAAGGCTGGCGCATTAGTCCCCAAGCTTGGGAAAGGAACAAGAGTTGTTTTTGACTCACACTAAGTAGAAGCCAGAGATAATAACAGCATTTCGGCATGAAACCTGCAAGGCATCGCAGATGACTCAGTGTGTTCGTGATGGCCCAGGAGCGTGGCGACGTCGCATTACGTGCTCATATTCCTCCCGAGCTGACCTGAGTGTTTGTCAAGGGCACGGAGAATGGAACACAGTGAGACTTTACTTCTTTTCTGGAGCAGTGAGGTCTGTGAATTGCTCAGGAGAGAAGTCCAGGAGACAGCCGCCCTACAGAATGCGGGCATCGAGCTGCACGGGTGACACTGGCAGAGTGGAAAGTACTCTGCGTTCTTACATCCCTTCCAGTCCCCATGAAAGAGACAAGCGGAACACCTGTGAATGAAGGATGCATCAATTCTACTTCGAGCTTTGGTCCATCTTTCTAAAATGAAGAGATAGACTTGGGGTAAAGAGAAGCTAGACGCACCACCATCTGATCATTCAACTCCCGTCTAGAGGCAGGGCCTTGATTGTGAGGACAACATTTCCCATTTTGGAAAACACATTGTTTTCTCAATTTGCCCAAACACTTGCCTGCTCTGCTGCTTTTCTTAAAACATGACAGCAGACATCTCAAGATTGATATAGATAGAGGTGTGGAGTCTAGAGTTCACTCACCAAAGCCCTGTATGCAAAGCCTGGAAATGCCTTCTGACAAATGATTGTTAAATGCCAGAGGCACAACGCTAGGTGCAATGAAGTAAGTCCTGGGAAACCAATTACGTCACTATTGTTTTACAACACTTTCTGTCCAGTCAGAGTATGTGTTTCATGTTCTGGAAGCTGTAATACACAGTCAGCTGTGATAAGCAGCAGATGTAATGAGCTATCTGGTTTCAGTATGGGATATTGTGCAGCTGTGAGGTGCTGTGCTGGGGCAACAATGCAGAGGAAAGACAGAAAGTTTAAGGTGAGCCAGAACACCCCTCCTAAGCCGAGAAAGTAGATCAATGAGAGAAAGACACCAGGGTGCAAACAGGCATCTTGGTGCACATGCAGGAATCAAATAAGAAAGGGCCAGGGAGATGGTTCAGTAGAATAAGCACTTGCCCAGCAAGCGCAAGGACCTGAGTTCAATCCCTGGTTTCTGAAAAAAAAAAAAAAGAGAGAGAGAGAGAGCTTCTGCTCTCTGCATCAGAAGAGCTTCTGCATCAGAACCTTAGTCTTTTCTGGTCACCCTGTCCTCTGAAGCTATGTCCCCTCTCTGACACTTCTTGCACAGTGATATTGTTACATACATCAGCTGATTTAGGTAAAGCCTCTAACCCAGCCTCCACAAGACAGCATTACCTTCCATTTCACTCACACATGGATAAGAACAGAAAAGCAAGGCCAAAAATGTAAGTTAGGGAGAGATCCTCACATCCCCAAATGCCAGACAGTGGAGTCTGGGATTTCTTTAGTGAACTAGGAAAAGGCATTAGAGGTTTATAAGAGAAGGAGTCAGACATTTCTAAGTGATGACAAAGTACAGAGTATTATTTTTGTCACCCATATTTAACCAATGAGGAAAATAGATGTAAAAATTATCAACTAACTTATCCCCGGTCACCCACCTCACAGTGCAAAAGCTAGGAATCTGCCTGGAAGCCTGGCCTCCTGTAACTGATTTTATCCAGGACATCAGGCTGTCTTGGGCAACTGAAGGTGGGTGCTTGTGGGCTCAGAAAGACAAATACAAGGGGCAGAAAGGCTAGATCCGTCATGGTGCCTCTATATGATTCCACAGCAGGACCCTTTAAAATAATATTGCTGGTGAGTAGGAATGGTTAAAAAAAATGGTTGCAATATACTCTTAACTTTAAAAAGCAGAGAAAGTTAAAAATTCTATGACCTCATATATGTGCAGGGAAAAAAACCTAAAAGATATATACCAAACTATGAGTTGCATTTATCTCAGGATCATTATAGGTAAATTTCCCTTCCTCTAATTTGTCATGCTTTATATAAAAATACATTATTTGTGTCAAAAGCATTTTATTTCAAATAATTCTACTGGGAACCCTGAAGGAGGAAGTGGTGTCATTAACTAAATTAAAATGAAGCCATGAGCCATGAGGTGTAGGGAATGAAAGACAGCTGTTGGTGCTGATAGCTGATGGCTTGCAGTCCATGGACAGAATTGGGAAAGTCACAGTTGGGTATGGTGGCATGGACCTGTAGTCCCACCATGCTGGGAGGCTGAGGCAGGAACATCATATGTCTGGTCTGGGTGGTTTAGTGGTTTAGTAAGGCCCTGTGTTTTTCAGAAGGAAGGAAGGAAGGAAGGAAGGAAGGAAGGAAGGAAGGAAGGA